CCACATGTGCCGCCCAAGGCTACGTCATAAAAGACACTGTGGCCCGGCCAGCGTGGCTCAGTGGTTGAGCATCAACCTATGAACCCGGAGGTCACGGTTCGATTCCCAGTCAGGGCACATGCCCAGGTTTCGGGCTTGATCCCCAATAGGGGGCATGCAGGAGGCAGCCGATCAATGATTCTCACTCATCATTGCTGTTTCTATCTCTCTCTCTCTCCCTCTCCCTTCCTCTCAGAAATCAATATATATATGAAAGATGTCATCTGTACTGGGCTTCTGTCTTGTTCTCCTGAATCACTCCCCCTGGGGGAAGCCAGCAGCCATGTTGGGCGGAAACTCAAGCAGCCCTGCAGAGGAGTGCATGTGGCCAGGAGCCCAGGCCGCCTGCCAGCAGCCAGCACCTCCTCACCAGCCCTGGGGGTGCGCCTTCTCAGAGGGCCGTCCTCCGTCCTCCGGCCAAGTGGCTGCAGCCCCCTGACATCATGAGCGACACCTCAAAAGAGGCCACAGGCTGCAACCAGCCATTCATGCCACTTCCGAAACCCCTCCCCACAGGAACTGGAGACAATAGATGCTTATTGTTTGACGCCACTACGTTTGGGGTATTTGTTATGCAGGTAGCTAATTACTCATTAGGTAACTAATACAGGAACAGGGAGACCTTTGGGTTATGAGGGCCTTTCACTGACTGCGTTCCCAAAGTGTGTTCCTTGGAATACAGACCAAGAATATGCTCAGCAAAGCAACAGTCCGCCAAGTGTGGGCAGACTGTGGACTTGGGCCCCTTCTTTGAGATTCCCGGGCTCCTTGGCAGGCCCCCCAGGCCGGGAAGCCCGGAACGGTCCGACCCCAGCGCTCTCGCAGTCTTTGTGAGCTCTGGCCTCACAAACACAGCCAAATGGTCCCGGCAGCAGGACCCTGGAGCACATTAAAGATTGTGGCCAATATAAAATCAAAACCACAGCCAGCCTGATACTCAGTGTGGCCTGTAGCTTAAAATATATATATTTGGTTGCAAAGAGAAAGGGAGAAGGAGAGAGAGATAGAAACATCAATGATGAGAGAGAATCATTAATCGGCTGCCTCCTGCACGCCCCACACTGGAAATTGAACCCACAACCCGGGCATGTGCCCTGATCAGGAATCGAATCCTGACCTCCTGGTTCATAGGTCGATGCTCAACCATTAAGCCACACTGGCCGGACTGGCCTGTGGCATTTATACGAGAAAAGGTGGCAGGCTGACCACGACCAACCCTCTCCCTGGGCTCCTTTCCCATGGCAGGGCCTGGGTCTGCCCTGGTCCCCTCTGGTCCCACCAGTCTTACAATCAGGGGTATTGGCTGGGGGTCTGGGCCACCGTCTGGCTGTGAACCTCCGTCTATTTGGGGACCATTTGGGATTCAGATTTTGGTTCCCAAACTCTGCAGCCCATTCTCATTAGCTCCGTAGCCCATGCCACGGGGGCCATGCTCTGCCCTTGAACTCTCTACCCCTCACCGTCCAGGCCAGGGCCTCAGAGCTGGGTACTTCTTGGTGGGAGCAGTCGTGGTCTTAAAACATGAACCACTGGAAAACAGCATTTGGTGTAGAACAATTCACTCCACAGGCGACTTTAGGAGCGAACCCACCCCCTTCAGTGAGGGAAGGTTGTGCTCAGAAAACCACATTCTTTTGGGCCCCTGGGGCTCCGTGGGGGTGGAAACAGAGCTCTCTCTACACACTAGGAGGCAAAGGTCTTTTCTTTTGCTGAAAACATAATTTTACCCTCATGTTGCTTCGTCTTTTCCAGCGTGGACACTCTGGGGCTGCCGGGCCAGAGGTTCTGCTGTGGGCACCTCACTGCTCAGAGTGTGGCCCCCCGGCCCAGCATCTGCCTCACCTGGGAGCCCCTGCCCAGGCCTCTGCATTTGAACGAGACCCCCGGGGATTCGAGGTACATTAAAGGTGGGGAGTGCCCGGGTGCACCCAGAACTGCCACCTCGAGGTCCCCCCAGCCTGCCCCCTAGTGGGCTGCCAGGCCTGCCCTCCTCACTCCCCTCCCAGGCTGTGTCATCTCAGCTTCACAGAGCGGTTCCGTGTGCACCCTCCACCTCTGCATCCCCCATTTGTCTCAGAAATCCACTGAGAGTTCAGGGCACAGCAGGGTGTGAAGTGAGGAGACCTGAGCAAGAGGTCGTGACAACAGTGAAGGCATCACGCCTTCCAGAGCACTCACAACCCAGGAGGGAGGCGATGGGACCCGGGGGCTCAGGGAGGGAAGCCACCTACCCCACCCGTGGTCACACAGCCAGTGTGACCCCACAGCCGCCGAGATCTCCCCAGGCCCCGGGCTGCATGAGGACTTCCTGGATGGGGAAGTGGATTGTCAAAGAGCTGCGCCCCCATCCCAGCGGGCTTAACCCAGAGGTTCCCAATCAGGGGTTCCCCAGGGGGCCCCATGCCTCTTGAAATCCTGGGCGGTCGCTGCACCGTCGGCGAGGGCCAGGCTCCACGGCCTACATGCATCAGGCTCCTTTGCTTTGGGTGGGATTATACGAACCCCCTGTGCCCGGTCAGACTCCCCGGGGCTGCGCTGAGCAGTCATCATCGTTGCCCTTGATCAACCCCAAATGGGCAAGATTCTATTACTCAACAGACGCAGTCTGCTTCCTGGGCAAACACGGGCCTTCGGGCCAAGAGCAGCAGGAGGGACTTCCCTGGTGGGAATGTGGGGAGGAATTCACTCAGAAACTTGAGTTCCCGAAGGGCGGGTATTTGTCTCAATTATTTTTCAGCAGCGGCACCTGCCTTTCTATATTTTCTTTAAGAAGCAACGAGTGCTTCCCCCCCCCCACCAGCCCACGGGTGCTGGGGGTACAGAGGCAGCCCGGTGGGATGCCCTGGGCGGAAAGGACACGAGGGTGGCCCAGCGACACCCCAGGTCTCCCCAGATGCTCCCCACGCCACACTCTCCACAAAAGCCGACCTCGAGGATGACATGCAGGCTCCTGTTTGCGGGTTTCAGGGGGGCCTGGGGGAAGCCAGCCGCAGACACTGGACCTGCTTGTACAGACCTGCACCGAGATGGGTGGGGCCTCTCCAGGCACTTCCACTGGGCGGCACCTTCCCTCCCACCTGGGGCGTGTACGAGTGTGCGTGTGTGCGAGTGTGCATGTGTGCGTGTGTGAGAGTGTGCGAGTGTGAGAGTGTGCGAGTGTGCGTGTGTGCGAGTGTGCGTGTGTGCGAGTGTGCCTGTGGGGCCAGGTGATGGTTCTCTTGCTCCTTCTAGGCAGAGCCCTCCCCTCCGAGCCCCCTGCCTGCACCCAGGCCCTCAGGAGGCTTGAGGCCTTGGAAGTTCTCGAGCTCGGAGGCCAATGGCCAGGGCTCTGTGGTCCGATGGAAGCAGGGGCTCCCAATCCGCTGACTTCCCCTCGCCATCTAGAGACATGGTGGGGGGGGGACCCCCAAGCTCATGACCACCGACAGACGTCCTTCCATCCAGGACCTGAAGTCGGCTTTGGGCACAGGGTTGGGGCCACCTCTGGTTCGTCTTTGTGCCCTGACAGCGCGCCCAGCGCCCCTGCAGTCAGGACTCTAAGTCCCGATGTCGTGCCTCCCAGGCCCCGCTGAACCCCCACCCGCAGCGGGGCTCCCGGCTGCTGCTCAGCAGAACAGAGGCCCAGGTCCAACACCAGGCTGTCAGTTTCTCCCTGGGGAGCCTGAAGCAAGCCACGCCCGCTCCATGCCTCCTTTTCCTCCCCCGGGAAATGGGATCCCCCTCGCTGGCTCCTGGGGGCTGCTGTGAGGAATTTAGTGCAGGGCACCCCCACAGTGGGGTCTCAGGATCGGGCCTTCCCACCACCAAATGCAATGCTGGGCACCGGGCAGGCGCTCAGGTACTGCTCTGGGTTCAGACTTTTTAAAAAACCAACATTTCTTACAGTATAAGGATAAGAATCCTGTGTGATTTGTAGAAAACGAGATTTTTTTACAAAGAGAAAGCTTGATCTCTTTCTCCCCACCCATTTTACAGATGAGGAAGCCGAGGGAGGTCTAATGAGACTCCCAAGGTCACTGAGTGGAGTCCAGCTCTAACCATCAGAGCCCCAGGTGTACAACCCCAGCCTCTCTGAGACGTTTGCTTAAACCCCCAGAACCAGGGGCCCCATCACAGAGATAAGAAACAGTGACCACCTGCACATATAACTTAATCAAGCCAGAAATCACACACAGCAGTGAAGTCATAGCCACTGCATAGATCTCCGAGTCCCGTCACACAAAAACCAAGTAACTCCGCGGGAGCGAGACTTCCCCAAGACTGAGCCAGGTCTGGCCAGCTTTCCCCGCTTCCCTTCCCTCGTAAGCAAGGAAAAGGAGGGGAGGGGGCAGATTCCCATCAGAAGCCTCCTGGGTTTTAGTCCAAAGTCTGCAATAGTGGGGGGTGGGGGGATTCATGCTCTGTGGCTTTCTTGAGGGGGGTCTCCGGGAGGGTCTCTTAAGCAGCCGTGTGAGGTGGTGATTAAAACCCGAGCGGGCTCTGGCGCCACGGAAACCTGGAGTTACCTCCTGCCAAGCGTGTGACCTCTCTGACCCTCAGTCTCTTCATCTGAAATGCGTCAGCCAAGTCTTATTGTCCAGCTGCTCCTTGTGGAGCGGGTGCTGGGTGCCAGGGACTCCGCCATGAATGGGAGAACAGCCTGGGGCCTTCCCCACGCTCACTGCCTAACAGGGGAGACAGCAAATGCTGAGACCAACGGAGTCAGGTGCCAGCTCAAGGGGAATAACATGGGTAAGAATACTCCCTGCCTCAGGCTGGCGCTGAGGGCTCGGAGCGTGCACCCCAGTCAAGGCAGAGGGAGCCCCGCATTGAGCACACAGGACACGCTCCGTCACTGGAAATGGCTTTAGTCGCTGCCGTTGCGATGACTGTTTCTGTAACCCGAATAAAACGGGGCTGCCTTGGGGCCCAGTCTCCTCCCCGTGTCTCGTTCAAAAGAAACACCAGTCTGACATCCCAACGTCAGTGAAAAGCAGTTTAAATCTCCCCGATCTCTCGGAAACACCAAAGGGGAACCCTCTGCACGCCACACACAAAGCGTCCTCGAGGCTCCCTGTGCCAATTCATCTGCCCGCAAGGTCTCGTGGGAGCTGCTCCAGAAACACCTCCCTTCCCTGCACCTCCCTTTCATCCTTCTCAGAGCAGGGGCTGCTGGGGCCTCAGGAGCCCGGGGACTGGCTGGACCCAGGCTCTGCTGTGGGGCTTCAGGGCTCCGTGCCTCAGTTTCCTCATCTGCAAAACGTGGGTAACAACAAAAAATTGTGGAAAATGTGGATAACAACAAAAAAATGTGGGCAGCAGCACTGCTTTCCATGCGTTATTGTGGGGATTCGATCAGTCCCCACTACAACTTGGTAGGTCCTACCACCAGCGGCAACTCCGCCTACCACCCACGGAGGAGCTCGGGGAAAGGGCCAGGGCTGGGCGGGCAAACTCGGGAACTCTCTGAGGAGGGAGCAGCAAAGGCTAGGAAGGTGCCAGTCGGGTGGCATTCTCCCTCCTCCACGGGACCCTCAGTCCTGGGCAAACGATCATGGTCAGATCATGAGAAGAGATACCCGGTACCCGGGGCGGCGGGAGAGGACCTACAGGGCATCAGGGAGGGCTTCCCAGAGGAAGGACAGGAGCACCAGGCAGAGGCCACGGCCTGGGCACAGGCCTGGAAGGGAGAGAGTGGTGGGTTCCGGGAGCACCTCCCCCACGAGACACATGGATCCAGCACCATCACCTACATCCACTCCCTTAATGCTCACGGCCCCACACCCCGGGGGGAGTCCGAGGGCAGGAACCCTCACTCCCAATTCACAGAGGGGAGACCAGATCTCAAAGAGAAAACGGCACTTCCTGGCTGGGACCAGAGCCCGCATCTCCTGACTCCTGGCTCAGAGGAGGGAACCCAGATGCCGAGACTGGGCCCAGTGCACCCCTGGGATCTGCCGAGTGTGGGGGGCCCATTACCATCTCCCCTATCTTACAGGTGAGGACACTGAGGCGTGGTGAGACCACAGCTCCCTCCAGGCCTGCCCTTCCCCTCCATCTCTGAGGACCCAGGACAAGCCTGAGGTGCCAGGATGCCCTCCCCAGGTGGGGCAGCAAGCAGCCAGGACGGGGTGCCTCTGGGTAAAGGAAGGCGCGCAGGATCGGCTGGAAAAGGCACCCCGGGCAGGGAAAGGGGAGGAATGGAGGTGGGGATGCGGGTGGGCCTCGCCAGGAGGCCAGCCAGGGAGGGGCGCAGGGTGGACCCCACCTCACTCCGGTGGACCCCAACTTCCCGGAAGAAGACACCACCCCCGGCTGGGCGGGGAGAGGGACCACCTCGGCTTCCTTCCGGTGGCTCCAGAATTTAAAGGTTAAATCCTAACCTCGTCTCAGCAGTTTCTCCCGGCTTTGCCTACCCGGCGCCGGTGGCGGGTAATTATATGCATCTCCGCGCAGCCAATCAGCTGTCAGGCTGACAGATACTGATCTCCGCGCTTTATTTTTAGCTCTGCTTCCCCCTCTAGTTGTAAAAAAAAATGCTGTTTGTTCTGGGCGCTGCTGCTCGCTCTCATCTCTGCC